CAAGGGGCGTGTTTTCCCCAAAAAAGTCACAAAAAATTTCTAATAACAATTTTGTAAAAATTTTGCATGGGGGAGCGGCCCAGGGGGGACCTTGTACATTCTTATCGTTACTGGGTGGGTGTTGGGTCAGTTTAGTTGGGCGTGGTAAAAGTTGTCAGTTATCTGATTAACTGATTAGGCAATTAACTGATTAGGTAAACTTTAAAAAAGGTGGAAGGAACTAATTTAGCAAATTGCAAATTTGTTCTTTGTACGGGAAACTTTAACTGGAACCTTATTGTTGAGTTAGCCACCTGGTGGTCACCGTGAACCAACGGTTTCGGGGTCACGGTCCACGTGATCACTGAATTTATGCACTATGTATAATTTCTTCTACAATATTATACATATTTTAAAAGATTCTCTAGTATTTTCTAGAAGATTCGTAGGTAAAGTTCCTGAAAAACATGACGAAAAGGAAACAACTCACCTAGGAAACCGACCCAGATATCCGGTTCTGATTTCGGTCCGGTTTCAAACAATTTTGCCGGATATTTTCTTCAAAAAAAATGTTATTTCTAAATCTTGAATCGATATTTTTCGTCACATTTTTAACTCAAATCCTTAAAAAATCATAAGTATTTTGACTAGGTGCGGGACTTCGAAAAAACCGAAAAATATATTTTCGGCTCATAATGAACAGGGCATTAAGATTTTAAGGGGTCTGGTAGGATAATATGCCAATCGCATATTCAATATCATTTCTGATAATAACTTGTCTACTCCTTGTATACTTCTTGTTTACTCCTGGCTACCAAACGATACTGCTTGTTGGATTTGATATTTTGACCTATGTCTACTGCTAGGCCCTAAACAGCAAAACATCATCGGTGTGGTTTTGTATTGCTCTTAGGAATGCAGAACCTTATAAATTTATAAATTTTTCGGCAAGATCCGGTACATTCCGGCAGCCTTAATATTTTGCCCTTTTCTAACAACCGGTTCCGGTCCGGCAAAATCCGGCTGACCGGATAAATAGATTGATATCCGGCAGAAATCCGGTTCCAGCAGCCAAAAGCCCATTCCGGTCGGTTTTCCTAAACTCCCCCCTCCAGTTGAGAGAAGGTGTAGGCGAAACTCAATCAGCAATTCTTAAAACATCAGGTTCTACTCCTTTTATCTGAATAATTTTCCTGAGACGATGTGATGTTATTGGTGTGACCGTCATAGTTCATACCACGCGCGGCGGGTGTTGATGTCATACTACGTGGGTACCAAACTTGATCCATTTATTTTAGGGTCTGAATTATCGTGCGTTCTGCCTGAGCTTCTGGAACTGTTTCCTCATTTTCTCCTTCAATCGCAAAACAAAAACGGTAGTTTGAGAGAATTTGTATTTGTTTTTTATGCTTCATACCAGTTTTGAAAAAAAATTTCTAAATTTAATACGTTTTCAACATGTCATGTAAAGCTTTTTGATTACAAAATATGTTATAAAGCTTGTTTTTGGGAGGGAGATACACGTTGAATTGACTCAAGAGTAAGGGTACTCGACAATAAAGATCCACGAGACTATTTTAACATGCCTTTTAACCCGGCCGGATTTCGTTTACAATTGCTTGGCCAAAAATTCCTCTGAAACTGACCTGCTTGCTTTCGCTTCATAGGTCCCGTGAACATGGCGGCGAAGAAAACTGCTGCAACCGGCTAGTACTACGCGGGTGCGCGGGAACTTGGTGTGTTTCCTACCATCAGAAACAACGTCACACAACACACTAGGGGGGGGTGTAAACAAATTAATTAATTAAATTAATTAATAATTAAAATAAATTGTTATTATTGTTTACAAAACTAAAAACCACACTTTTGTCAACCACGATAATTTACAAAAGTGTCACAAATTAATTGCTTTTTTGGGACATGATTTATAATTGACTTATCATATCAATTAAAAAAACATTGATCACTTGTTCTTTCTGAGCTGGTTCTCTTGACGAGGGTAGCAAGCGCGTAATGCTGCGGCCCATAAACTGTAAAACCCATCTCTTTTTTCCTTCGCTGAACTTGTGGCCAATGATGTGTTCTCACAAGAAAAGCGTGGTCCAGAAGATGGTGTGTCCGAGGGAATGTGAGTTCCGGAGATGATGAATATCTCAAGGAACGTGCTGGTGCGCGATCCGTCAGGAAACGCGTAGGTTACCACAGCAAAGACTCGTGACCACTTTGACGGGATCGTTATAGACATTGGGCTGAAATGATGATTTAAGGGGGGGGGGTTCACCCCTGATTTTTTGTGATGAAACTTGGTTTCGAGATGCAGTTGACCAACAAAACTAGGACCAGTGACCAAACTTTTGAGGGGGTCCCGGACCCCCAACCCGCCCAACACGGTGGCACAGCGGGGCAGCCACGCCCATATTCGGTCCAAATCAGGCCCAATTTTAGCCAATACCCTGAACATGCCCAAACAACCCAGATTTTATGGTGCTCTACTTGTAGCTAGCAGTGGTCCCTGAAACTAGTATATGCAATTTTCATCAAGATTGGACAAAAAACTGACTGAGTTATGAGCAAAAAAACTATATGCCCATTTTTGGGCATACGCACTAAATTTGATCGATTTTGGCCATAAATTTGGTTTCAAAAAAATCAATATTTTGAATGAAACCTAACTTTATATGAAAGGTAAGCCAAAAACTACACATTTCATGATTATCAGCTCAATATCTACCTAACTGGGATTATGTGTTCAAATAATCGAAAAAAAATTAACAAAATTCGCCCATATCTCAGTTCGCGATATTTGCAAAAACTGACTTCGCTCAAAACAAATAGAACTCAATAGGGTTTTCATTATTTTTTTCATGAAATTCAGATCACGTAAGAAATTGTCTCATGACCTTAAGTTTTTGGGACAGAATTTTGAGTTAGGGCCTTTTAAAAAATTTGGAGGCCAAAATTCTGAAAAATGCCCGGCAAAATTTTTTAAAAATTGGCCGCCAAATTTTTTTAAAAAAAGCCCTAACTCAAAATTCTGTCCCAAAACTTTAAGGTCATGAGAAAAATTTCTACGTTGATTCTGAAAATTTCAATGAAAAAATATTGGAAACTCAAATTGAGTTTCTATTGTTTTTTGACCCGAAAGTCAGTTTTGCAAATTTTCGCGAACTGAGATATGGGCGTTTTTTTTTGTTAATTTTTTGCGATTATTTGAACACAGAACCCAAACAGTTAGGTAGATTATGAGCTGAAAAATCATAGAGAATGTGTTAGTTTGGCTTACCTTTCAAATATAAAATTTTTAGTTTCATTCAAAAAAATTTGATATTTGGACCAATTTATGGGCCAAAAAATCGATCAATTTAGTGCGTATGCCCAATATGGGCATATAGTTTTTAGCTCATAACTCAGTCATTTTTTCCATCTTGATGAAAACTTCATATAACGATTTTTAAAGGGGACCACTAGCTCCCAAGTTGAGCACCATAACCAGGGTTTTGGGCATGTTCAGGGTATTTGGCTAAATTGGGCCTGATTTGGAACCAAATATGGGCCGTGGCTGCCCCGCGGGGCACCTTTTTTGGCGGTTGGGGTCCGGGACCCCCTCAAAAGTTTGGTCACTGGTCCTAGTTTGTTGGTCAAACTGCTATCTCGAAACCAAGTTTCACAAAAAAATCAGGGTAAACCCCCCCCCCCCCCTTAAATCAAAAACATTTATAAAAAAAGTCAACACTTCATGAAAAATTATCAACAAAATATTTAATAAGACATTCTACAAAGATACAATTATTGTAATCTAACGATAAAAAAAAAAAATTTTCAAAATGGGTTGGATTTAAATTGTAACAAAAATCTAGAGCTTGTTAATTGCTATTTATGATTATTATTATCGTTGATATCTAAAAATACCCTGCAAAACCATAATAGTCGTAATTTTGATTTTTTTCATTTGTGTTTAATGTAAAAAGGTAAAAAAGTTCCTTGAAACAATCCAAACTTTGAATTCGAGGAACAAGCTTGGAGCAATTAAAAACATTCAGCACAATGTCCCCTTACGTAACTACGGTAAAAACTTTATTTTATCTTTTATAGCAGAATTTTCCTATAAGTAGGTTGTGCATCATACCAAGGTCCTATGTAAAGCCCTAATTTTAAGATTTCTGTCAAATTTAAGTGTCATACAATGGTCACTGCAATTCCGTTTAAATTCTACTAAATGATCAGATAAAACACTATTTCGTGGATGTTCCAGGATTTCTTCCATATTAAACCGCAGACACAGATAAACTCATCGCTAAATCATAGTTACATTCATTCAGACTAAACTGCCAAAAATAAATGACCTCACCTGAAAATCTATTTCTGTGGCAGTTTGTTCTTCAAATCTCGAGAAGATTCACGAGAATTTACTCACAAAAAACTTTCAACACTGATAATTACGGAGAGTATTAATACATCATATAGATCTAGCCTGGGGCAGATATATTCTCAGCTCTGTCTCGGCATCTCGAGTTACCGCAAAGCCGTTTGCTGAGTAGCATAGCAGAAAGAAATCTACCCAATCACGTAAGTTTGGGTTTTGTGCCAGCCAATCCTAGCCGTTACTAAAGTCACGTGGTTTTATACCCAGGATTAAAGATTAACTCTTTGCCATGGGCTTGATATTCCGTTTACTATTGTGTGGTGCGAATTGTTATCATTGCTATTGTTAAAACTGCTGTAAATCGTATATCTCTGTATCGACCTGATGTGACTAGAACTTTTTCCTCAATCTTCAGTCTTAACCGTTCATTTCGGTTAATTGTGTATTTTAGGTGATCTAAAAGTAGCTGCCTTTAATAAAGGTATATGAAATATTGCTATAATTTTTGTTGTACTTAAATAGTAAATAGTTCCTTCGTAAATAGTTCCTTCTCCGGTTTGTTCACAGTACCGAATTTCAGTGTAGACAATCATGAGTAGTGAACACGCTTGGATATCTGGTGGATGTCCTTTTAAAGGCAGGAGGATTGACTCACGAGGCAATATCAAATACAAAGGTAGGAAAATGTAACATTTCATAGGTGAAACGACATTACATTTTAAAAAGGTGAAAGTTTGAAATAAAGTAGCCTACATACTAGATCATATCAGATTACTAATAAGAAAGCTTTTCAAATATGTTTACTTAAGTTAAATTTGATGGAGTTTATGGAAAATAAAGCAAAGTATATATTTTTTATCTATCAGGTCACATGATAGTTTCAAGCCATGAGCTTCAGTTTGTTTTGGCAAAGCCCAAAGCAAAGAGTGGAAAAGTCATCGACAAAGAGCTATTTCCGCTGAAGGTTTACTAAATTATGAGTATGATATGTCATTAAAACAAAGTTATCAGTGAAACAATGTTATCACTTTTATGCTAATTTTATACAGTAATAATGAAAATATCTACAAAGAGAAGCAATTTAAGATAATTTTTGCATACTAGTCATACTGCAGATGGACTGATAGTTGACGGGGCAAAGGGGCACTCTTGCTATTCCCTTTCTTGTGCACCACAACAGCAACTATATATATATATGTAGGTCCTCTTATGAGTATCAATATTACTATCTTTAAGAATTATGAGATTGCAGGTTAACGGTAAAATGCCTCCCTAGCAGCTTACTGGAGTGTACTTGTCAGGATATTAAGAGTTATGGATGTCACGAGAACGTGCTGTCAGTGCGATTAGGAGGAGAGTCCGCAGAGATGGGAGAGTCGAACATGGTGTATTTTAAAATGAAAGAAGCAGTTGTTGTAAAAGAGATTATGGATCAGGTGCAATAAATTATACAGTATATTAGGTGATATATTCCAAAATTTCAAGTGTGATTCAACAGTGTGTGATTCAACAGTTCATGTTATTCCTCACCAGTATTTAAGTATATCAACATATCTGGCTTATCAAATGCTAACATTGCAGGTCATTGAAATGAAACGGAAACCAATGCCTCGAATGCCAAGCTTTGACCACGCTGGAGGATTCTATGACATGTCACCGTATGTGGTTACAGATATATAACTCATTATTTTATTATATATAGTAGACGGCGAAATGCTTAATAAGATTATACAGCAATTGAGTCTCAAAGTTGAGTGATGACGTTATACCATTCACAAAAATGCTAACTTTCAGGACCGCCTTTAAAGCTTTCCCTGGACAACAAGACCTCCAGAGAAAACCATCCCTACCACTACCATCATCTATGCAAAATAACATGAGCTATTATGATCCCTCTCAGATGGATCCCACTCAGTCGTCGCCACAACAATCTGATAACGTTTTTGATGGGTACAGCAGGTGAGGCTGCTTCAAGATACCTAATGATCATTATTTTTGTTCTGAAATTGTTTTTAAGGCTCAATTTACTTGTTTATTATTTTGGCGGCAATAGCAAAGTTGTGCAATTTACAAACTATTATTTAAAAGCTAGGAAAGATGAAGAGCATGGCCATCCTAAAATGTATTATAGACACAACTTATGATGCAAGATATGCTCTAAAGTCTAAAATGCTTATTACATGTTATTACTTATTGTAACAGAAATGAGAAATCTAAGTTAAGCAACAAAATATGGAATTAATACCAACAAAACAAAGCACTATAACAAGAATGCTTTCAGGGCCAAATTCACGCGATCAACTTCGACTGGATCTTCAGGTAGCAGCACTGGACCACTCTCAGGAAATTGTATACCTGGACATGAGAACCCAATATTTCAGTTCAGTCCTATTGTGTCACCAGTCCAGTATGCTCAAGTGGAGATACCTACTCAAAGACAATTTGTGGATCTGCCCTCCCCTACAGACCCCAGTAATCCAGGTAAAGCACAATTTAACTTGATTTGATATTTTGATTCGTGTTAACTATAGTATAAGTGTTGCCAGCTGTCAAGTTGTAGGTTAATGTGATGTATTATGAAAAAAATTCATAAAATTTATAGAACTTACCCTTAAGGAAAGAAAAAGCGCCCGTTCTTTAAGACAAGATCGCTACCAAAGTTTGGATACACAAAAGTTGATATTGACACAATGGAGGCATTGAGGGAAATAGAAAACAAAGAGAAGCAATCTGGGTAACACCAGGAGCTTGAGCTGATGGTTCTATTCAGAAAAAAATTAATTGTTTTAAACTGTTTGAGAAAGGATAGATTTTTAATTAGGCAGGGTTTTTTAATGATGGTGTCGACCATACTAACTGTGAAGAAACTGAACGAAAACTTCTGTATGAGAATTGACTGATTTTGTGATGTACATTACATTCTGATTTTGGATCACATATTCTAATATTGAGACATTTTATATTTAAGAGGCTGAAATTTGCACATGCAGACAATGGAAATAATCATATATCGTTTTACATAATATCAATACCTTGTGGAAAACAAGAACTTTGGGAGACACTTTTAACAAGCAAATAAGAAAGGTATTGAAAGCCCTAAAAGGTCTGGTTCAGTGACCAGTGTGACTCCCCATAGTGTGCTCGTTGCATGTAATATTGTGCTTTTGTTTAAACACATTGAATTTTATGTGGAGAACATTTGAGTTAATGTGTTTTTGAATCATTTTCACTCTTTTGAACTTAATTGATCTGAACAACAATATGAAGTGTTTTGATTAAAGAGTTTGATGAAACTATTTTTAGTCACAAGTCCTAAAATCCTACAAAGTTATACACATAATTTTGTGATAAAAAGCTAAAAATTACATAATTGATGTCAATAGGATAGGACTATTTAGATTAGACTGCATTTTATCGTTAACTTTCCGTTAATTAGACATAAAGAGAGTTTGCATGCAAAGAATGTCTATACATATTTTTACTTTGGGTAAGAAAGAAGATAACATCGCAGCAGTGGCTTTTCAAACCCTACGGACTTCTGCACTCTAACACTCTACTTTAAATAGTTTGCTAGCTTACACAATATCAGTCAGTGTTTTGATTTCTCTTGATTTTTATTGTAAACGATCCTGTGGAAACAAATTCGAAGGACTGTCAGGTACAATTAAGATATTCTGATCCTGCTTCTTCAATCAAAAATCACACAGCCATCCAAGCAGTGATTTTCGATCAAAATTCAGTTCGCTAATTTCGGGATACCACGAGGTCGAGCAACTACATGAGGAATAGATAGTATAAAGTTTTTAACCCGGTTTAAAAAACAGCAAATGTCCTATTATTTAAAGATAACTTTTTTTTTATGGGGGGGCCCCTCAACCCATGTTATAGTAAAATCTGGAGACAAAAACCCCCCCCCCCCCCCCCCCCCCCCACCCCCCATCAAAACTTTTTTTGCCAATTTAAAATGGTTTTCGTTTTAATATAGATTGTTGACCAGGATTTTAAAACATTGATACCAAAACTAAAACAACATATCAAAAAATAAAAATTTTTTAAAACCAGAAAGGTGGCGGCTCCGTTGGGAGGCGGCGCCTGGCAAAGTTTTTGTTGGTGTCCATATCGACGGACTTGTGGAGGGAGGGGGGGGGGACTTGGGGCCCCCGGCCCCCCCCAACTCCCCTCCCCCAAACTACGATTTGTAATTACACACCGGCCATGGGCCCCCCCCCCCCCACCTCCCATGTTTGTAATGTTGGGTCACAACTTCGCATGGCCCCCGACAGGCAAACCACAAAAACAAAAAAAACTAATAATAATGTTTGTGTAAACAAGACAACCAACAAACTTGTAAAGACGATCACTCCACCCCCCGCCGCTTGTAAAATCCATAACATCCCCGAATAAGTATTTTTCAAAAATTTTGCCAAAGAGGTCCCAGGAACCGACAAATCATATAAATACCCATGAAGTGGGATTTGCGCCCCTTGATGTGCCATTTGTACCCGTTTTTACAAATTAACTATGTTTAAAAACTGGCCCCGCCGGCATTATTTTCGTCAAAACGTACGATTTGGAAAACGACCAAACATCAAAAAATTTTTTTCCAACAAAAGGGATAATTGCGGTGCCTTTTCATTCGAAAACGTTTGAGTGAATAAAGAGCCCTTCATAGTTGTGCGATAAGAATAATTCGGAAAAACACTATTTACTAATCACAATTTCCTATTTTTTAAGAGCACCCAGCCACCAAACCAGAAAAAATGGGCGTCCCACAGACGCCCCTGGAACCGCTTTGCCCCCCTCTAACACGAAATGCCCCCCCACCCTCGCTTTTGTTGGGAAACAAGCGTTCGGTCCCCACGCCAAGTTACGACACGGTAAGACCCCTAACATGGAACGCCCTTCAATGGCCGCCCCTTCTGTTTTTAAAAACAATAAATTGAATAAAATACCCGGGGGTATGGGGTTATAAAAAAGAAACAATAAAACATAAACACGTCCACCCAAAAAAAACCTCCTGTAAAACGTTTCCCCAGGGCACTTTTAAATAAAAAAAATCCACCCAAAGCTGCAAAGCGCCCCTCCGATTAAAATTTAACAATTATAAATGTGTGCCCCATTACAAATGTAAATAAATAATTCATATTTTTTTTACTTTTGCGCGGCGTGGGCCTTTAGTTAAAAAAAAAGTATAAAAGTATTTTCAATGTTCCAATATTTGGTATTAAAACAATGTACCTTTTTTTTGATACAAATAAACCACAAAAAAAATTTGTATTCCCGATTGCACATAAACCTACGCCATTTTACCACTTTTTTATATTTTACCCTTACCTTCATTTGTTCAATTGGTCCACCAGGCAACTATTTGTTATTTATTGAATACGTTTACGTTATTTTTAAGAAGCCCCCCCCCCGCCCTGAATAGTATCAAAACTGAAATAATTACAAAACTTGGCCAAAACTTTTTTTCCTAATCGCAAGCCTCATTTACCCCTCTAGGTTTTAATCAAGGGAACTAATTTGCAAGTAAAATTTCAGTAAAAATAGGTCAGACATGTATATTTAAACTTGTGTGGGGCATTTTATCCCGTTTTTTGTATCAACGTGGTGGAACCCCCCCCCACAATACCCCTGTAGAGATTCTTTTCGACGATACAGGGAGAAGTGCCCCGCGCACTCGTGCGGCCCGGGGCGGGTCCCACCCAAAACAACGTAATGAACAATGCCTTTTCACATGAGATTTAAACTGCACCTGTTTATTCAATAATTAATAAACAGTCAAAAACTTACACTTTTTGCAAGTTGAGATCTAAAAAGCCGCACGTATTTTATATCATAGAAAAATAAATTTTGCAACAAACTTAACCTATATCTTATTATAAACATCCAGCCAGCCCCCATGGGTCAATTTAGCAAAAATTTATATAAAAAAATAATGATTATTTGGGAAATCAAATTATTTTAAATTTAAAAGCCACTCTACTACAACTCGAACCCTTGTAGCGCCGGCCCGCGAATCAAACTATTGGCCGCCGGCCCGGCCCTGCGCAATCAAAAAATAAATATTCCTCCTTCGCAACCACCTTTCACCCGTAAAATCGGCCACAAAAAAGGACTGGGCCCCACCACGCCCAAAGCCTGGGGAATGAATTTTGAACACAAATCGTGGAAAATTTTATCCAAGCACATCACTGACTGATTCCCCCCCCTCAACTTGAACCCTTTGTTATATAGCGGCCCCCACAATAATGGAAAACAATGCGCGCCAAATCCTATTTTTCGCAGGGCTTCGGCCCGGAACCCCCCACCTAATGGTTTTTCCATGCCACCTTAACCCAAGGGTGGTGGCCTTTTCCGCGCCAGTATGGGTTGGGCCGCCGGCTTGTTTTCACAAGTCAAGAAAAGCCCCGTTAGGCCCCGGTGCGGGGCGCGCCCAACGCAAAATCGCAAGGGCCCACTTTTTTCTTGGGAGAAAAGCCAACTTAATGGTGGCCAAAATTCTTTTGACGGATGTTTAACCTCTTTTTAAAATTTTCTTCGAAGTAGCGCGCCGCCGACTACTTTACTCCGAAATGGGGAAAAGTGGGCTTAAAAAGTAGCGCCGTCAAACCCCGAGGTCCCCCCCAAGAAGACCATAAACCAATGGTCCCCCCCCCCCCAAAATTTCAATCACTTCCACACTCCCCCGACCTATTTGAGTGAATTTTTAGAGCCCATTAGCGCCGACCGGCCCGATAACCATACAAAAATAAAATTTTTAATAACCCAAATTAACGCCCGCCCACACTGCGCACACCGCAAAAGATTATTTATAAAAATTTTAATGGGTTCCCCACCCAACACGACCTTGACTAAACGGGGTCCCCGAAAATTTAGACCATTGGTTTAATTGAAATTTTCCCCTGGGCCCCGGCAGGCCTGCGGGCTAAACATTCTCCCGTAGCCACGTGGCCCATAATCGAGAAAGGGGGCCCGTGCCCCATGGGAAAGAAATCGGCGCGCCCGCCATACTTCGAAGAAAATTTTAGAACGAGTAACATTTCCGTCCAACGTGCAAAACGGACCAAGAAAAATTGTTGAAGAAACGAATTAACGGTAAATGATTGACAACCGACCCCCTTTAAATATGCCCGTATAGTTTTAATTAAGCGATTAAAAAAGCGGTACTTTTTTGAAAATGGATTCAAAAAATAAAAACGCCCCCGCCCCCCCCCCCCCCCCCCCTAAATTAAGTTCATTTTCCTTTTTTCCTAATCCCTTACCTGGGGAAACCCCCAGGTTTTTTGACCCAATGTTTAATGGGCCCCCGGGCCTACCTTCGAAGGAAAAATTTAGAAACGACAGATTAAAAAAAAAAACAACATCCGTACCCCCCCCAAGAACCCCCAGGCCTTATTATATTATAAAGTTTCAATAATCCCGAATAGAGATTAATGGCTGAAAATGAACAGCGAAGCGCCCCGCCCCAGATAAATTTCTAATTGGTCCTTTTCCCCCTTAATAATAAAGCATTATTATCGGGGTCCTCCGGACGAAGTTTTCCCATTAAAGTCGGTTAAAAAATGGTAAAATACGCTTAAATTTTTACAAAAATTTACACAAGCCTTTTAACTTCTTCGAACTAAAACGTTTTTTTTTTTTTGTTTATTATCAAATTTAGAACTACTAACACTAGCTCCCTGAGGGCAAAAGCCCCCGGTGGTCCCTCCCAGTATATAACACAACGGTCAAAAGCCCCCTTATAAATAATACCTTATAATCTATTTATCACTTAAACCTGGTATTTTGTTGGTTAAAAAGTTTTTTAATTCAGTAAAAATTATGGTGGCAAAGGATTTGGTTTTTTTGTTGAAAATAATTTTCCTGCCCGTTAAGAAAACCACCTATTTTCCTATCCAAATAGCAAGGTTTTTTAATAAACAAAAAGAAAAAACTTACTCATAATCAGTACAAGCCCCCCGAATAGTAGAATAAACCAATTTTAATTTTAACTTTTAATTAAAAAACAAAGGATACACAAATCGTTTTCTGGACTCTAGAATTTCCAGTTGAAATTGTAAAAAAAAGGGTTTTTACAAAGAAAAAAGACAAAAGAATGGAAGAAAAAACCGTACCCCTAATTGTTTGCCCCAAAACAAATCCCTGCTGCTCCTCCCCCGTTCCCCCCCCCACGTCCTCAAATAATTTACTCGCAATTAAAAAAAAAATAAAAAAAGCGCACATACTTAAAATTAAGACCCATATATAAAAAAAAGTT